CCATGATTTTACAGTATTTAATGGAATGGTATTTATTAGTATTGTCAATAAGAAAGGGGAAAATGTCAAAGCTTGGCTTTAAGGAGAAAATTGTTCAAAATACATATCCAAGAGGGAAAAAAAAAAGAATAGAATGTTCTGAATGTTTCAAAAGTAAGAACTTTAAAAGAAAATCTGCGAAATCAAAGGACAGTTGCATGATCACTAAAACTCTCAGCATTAAATAATGTGATTAATGCTGATTTGAATCTTAAAAAGGCAAAAAATGGTAATGGGCATCATCTTTCTCCATGACATGTATCCGAAAGCAGAGTGTGCTGTTGAATTCTTTGTGAGAAACAATTATTTTAACAAAATGGGAAAATGTTGTCACGATAGCTGTATCTTGGGTATGTTTAAAATATCGCAATAAAAGTGATCCATTTATTATCATCAGAGAGAAGTAAAAAGTCATACAACATGGTTCAAAGAATCTAAAGAAAGTTTTTCAAAGGGATTTATAATTGTTGCTAGTTTTTGATAAAAACAACAAATAAAAATTAAAGGAAGTGAAGAAAACTGTTAAGATCAATTCCACTTACTATCAAGAACATATTTTGTACCCAATTTTCAGATATGAAATACCTTCTGTGTACCCACAGTGTATCAATCAGTCGAACTGCATCAAGACAAAACAAGCAATCACATGTCAACATCTATCGTTAATTTCCTGAAAAAAAAAATAGAACAAGTGACATGTATCAGGGCCATACCTTTGACTCATATCCCTACTAAACCTCCTTGTGCATCATCCACGGATTTTTGCTCTTCTGCACTTTTAAAAAGTGAATTGTCTGAATGTCAACCTACAATCCTCCTTGGACTTTGGAAAGCTGTTCAATAGGAAGGGAATAAAATAACTCTTTATTAAAAAAAAGCTTTATTGTCTTGGAAATTACAATGTAGAAACATAGTGAAGAATAAGATTAGCAAATGGATCACTTAAAACACAAAAATTTTAGGCAATATATTTATTTAAATACAACGAAAATCATCTAAAAAATGTGCGAACATTCTTAGTACATGAGCTTGACATGCAACTACCACCTGTCTCACCTTCAGACAGATCTCAAGTACACCAGAAATCATTTGTTGGCTGTTGTGAAAGGAAAATCTAATTGGCAATAGTAATGCTTTATATGCCCAAGTACTTGCAGCATGGTAAAATATTCCTCAGTTAATAATAGTATGGCAAGGCCTGTCAGTGCATACATTTTCACATGTGATGGTTGTATTCCATATCGAATAACTCTGTATTATTAACTATTTATTAACAATCCTGTGAATTTCAAATTTCTGTGACCTTTCATTATTGGTGATGTTCAGTGCTGAACAGTGTTTTCTAGATATAACTAAAATTCCAAAACTGCAAGCTATAAATCTGATAAATTAAAATATATGTTAAGTTAAACTTTAATAGCGTTATCACGTTAGCTGTTTGTTGCCGGGACAAAACGTTTGCAGCAACAGTTCTGAGAAACGGCCTCTGGCGAAATAGGGTTACCATCTTCACTTGTTAAACAGGCTGAAAGCCAAACAAGAATCAATTATCACTCAGATTGGCAAAAGTGATGTTTCCTTTCAAGTGACATTCGCTTCTTCGTGTTGTTTTGTATAGCTCACACGCTTTTCGTTTTAAACTTTATTGTTAGTAATGGAAGATAATAAAAGGTGATTGCTATCAAGTTAATCACTTTGATCTCCACTCTGGCACTTCATGTAACACATAAACACACTTCTGGTTATAGCAATCAATTACATCAGTAATAGCCAAATTCTGTATACTCTAAGAATAGTTTAAAAACGTGTGCTGGATAAGTCTATTTATCACACATTTTTTTTTTGTTGTCTGCATTTCCATGAAAATTTGATGGCTCACTGGAAAATTTGTGACCTGGTGAAAGCATTTTCTGACTAACTTTATGCCTCATAATTACTGTTCTGTCCATTCAAACAAACAGACAAAAAAAAAAAAAAAAAAAAAAAAAAAAAAAAAAAAAAGACCTTCTATAACAAAAATCTATATGGCTGATATTTACCTCCTCACAGCCAGCAGACACTATTTAGCAAAATGAAGATCAAATAAAGCATATGAATACATGAGCAATTAAATATGTGCGAGTTGTTTACTGTCCCATATAACACTCGGTAATATACCTAAAACACATTAATTATACCAACTCTAGAAATTAGGTGTTCACATCATGAGTTTGTTTTATTGGTTTGGTTAGTTTATTGAGAGTTACAGGCAAAGCACACTAGGGCTATCTGCCTAAGGAGAAGGGATGCCTTCGTGGAGGACTTTCTATGGAAAACTGGTTCGTATACACGTTACACATGGGGAAAACCACGAAAGTGCCCATGCAGCCAGCCCGTTCGCGGGATTCGAACCTCGGACCGAACTACCAGTGTTCAGCGACTTTACCGCTCGGCCGCTGGTGGGCTCAGTTTGTTTTATGTGATTACCGCAAAGCCTCGAGGGGTAACAACAGGAGGGATCCCTTTGTAGAAGATTTTTTAAAACTGGCTCGTATACCAGTTACAAATGAGGGCAAAACCAAGGAAAACGTCCCATGTAACCAGCCCGTTCGCGGCATTCTAACTTCAGACAGAATTACCAGAGTTCAAAGACGCTTCGGCCACTAGTAGGCCCGTGCACATAATTGAAAAGTGCAATTCATTATGTAAACACACATGAAAGTGATAATCAGTTGTGCACTGTTTTAAGTAATCAAATGTTATAAATGTACAGCTGTTACGAGTACATTTATTATTATTTATTAGTCATGTTTTTATTACGTCAGATCATACGTATGATATAATTGAAATTAACCCAATAACAAAAATGTGTACACTCTTTAGTACTCAAATACTCATCAATTATTTTTCAAATGATTATTACATACCCATAATAATTTGCAAAGAACTGATAACTATAGTTGCTGCCAATTACATAATCGTTATCTGAATTAAAAGCAACTTCAAATAAACTTCTTGGCAATGTTCATTTTTGTATTCATACATACATATATATATACATCTAATAAGTCATATTTACATACAGATAGAGAGATGCGATGGTTTAGAATATATTTATTAGTATTAATGTAATGAATAAGATTTATATTAATGAATGTATATACAAATGTTTTTCATCATGCATAATAATAAATCCATAAATTTCCAATGTTTCAATATGTAGCATTTACAATAAAGGTATAGTTTCTAATGTATTTATAATTCAAAAATATTTCATTAATAACATGAAAATAATAGAACAAAATTTAATGAGTATTCTCATTATTACATAAGCTATGCTTTTTTTTTTATGCATCTTCTTTGCTGTTTAAAATGTGTCATCTGATTATGCAATTAACAATTTAAAGATAAGTAATTAGGAGAAAAGCCAACGCATATCCAAACGGATTTTAAAAAAATTATTCAACTTAAATTTAAGAAATAAATTCTATTATATAACAGTGATAATACACGATCAGCACGAAATACGAACAAATTTGGCGAGAACTTTTGGCGACGAACAATGTGTAAACAAATCCGAACTGCAAGAACGTCGTAAAATACTGTCAACTCTGAAAATTTCCACGATTATACATTTAATGAATATATACAACATTTAAAAAAATGACTTCAGGCAGTTATATGTATTACAACAAAACAGCAATAATTAAATCGGCCTCTATTTCCAGGGTCCATCAACTTCACAGTGAGAGCCATCGCCATATTGAAAGTTACCCGTCATCCTTCAGAAGAACTTTCGTCTGATTGGTTGAACGTTTGAGGAACACGTCTCCAGCCGGAACATTTTCGGATAAATTTTAAAATGTTGCTCGTAGCCGGGACAGTTTCCTCCTAGCTAGACGAAACATTTCTCGGAAGCCTGCCGCTTAAAGCCGTACTACTAGAATCTAGTTTTTCGGAAATGTCCCGGGTAAGGGCGCGCGTCCATAAAAGTGATAGGGCCATAAGAGTTTTACAATTAATAATTTTGTAGAATCAGTATTGTAGGATTGTTTCATCCTGGGTAACTGATGTTTTTATGTCAATATTTCTGAATAATCAAATAATGTGTTACCCTTGCAAATTTATCTTAACTTCGTAACTTCAAAGCTTAGTTAATGTTACACAGAAAGATGAATTTTTGTATAAAATTGTTGATTGTAAATTTTTTTAATTTTTATTTTGTTCTAAGTTCACTTTGTTTTGATTGTTTCATTCTCATTTAATCAGTTTCAAACTCGAAAGTGCTACTAATTAAAATTTTTTAATGTGTTGCATTAGATATGTGGGAAGGAGAAAGACCTTTCAGTTATTGTTATTAAAAAATTATAGACAAATGCAGATCAATTTTTTCCATTGTAATTTTGATATAAGTGATAACTGTTCATATATTCATTTGATATTTAAAAATTATGTTACCACTCTGTAGGTTTTTTTTTTTTTTATGTCTGTTCTCTTACAGCTTTCTATGTGGCATCTCTAATTTCAGTGCTAGAAATTTAAGTTTTTTTTTTACTTAATTGTATAAATATATGGGAAATTTGTTATATAAAAATTTAACCCTCCGAGCGTTATGGGTTAAGCTCTGAAATTTCAAAGTTTCTCAAAATGTCATGAATAAGTGATATTTTCTTGATTTTAATTTAAAAATGACTATCTCATTTTGTACTTTGATTCCTTTTCTTCCAATATACATCCAAACCTAAATCAGATACATTTAAAAGCTAGCAAAAATTTTCATGTATAATGAATATAGAAGATAGACTTCTGTATGGAATTTTCCGGCCGTAACGCTCAGAGGGTTAATTTGGTGTGTAATGATTGTAAATTATTGCAACTGCCTAGAAAAAACAGGTGAGTTAAGACTGCTACGTAACTTCAATTTTAGTTTTAGTAGAATTTAAATGTTTGAATATTGTGTTTGTGTGATCACCCTTTTACAGCTCATTCATCAACCTCTACAGCCTTCCGTATCTCATGAAAGTTCATCTGCCCTCTCAGCATCCGAATTCTTTGATGCGGCTGAAAATTTCTCAATGTGCACTACAACTTCTGAGGTATGAAGCCATTTTTTATATTTAAATGATTTAATTAAAAGTATGTGTTTGATACTTATAATAATTTTATTGTTTGTTATAAATCTTGTTAGAGTATTTTAAAATAAAAGTGACCTGCGTACCTTTCTTGCAGACATAAATCAGTTACTTTATTTTTTAATGTAATGAAAGTTTTCAATTTCTGAAATAGATGTATTTATTACTATTGAAATATGCAAGCCAAATTTCCTGGAACTCTGTGTATTACATAAATATTTAGACATAATATTGCATTAGAGCAGTACTTTGAAGTATGAGCTAAAATAAGCATTGCTCTACTAGTAGCCAAATGGATCACAGAGCTAATTGTGTTCGGTCTACCAAAAAGTTCTGTCTGTTTTTGGAATAAAACAAAATACAAATTTTTCTTACCATCAATAAACTTTATTAATTGCCATTACTATTAATGACCTCTTGCCAGCATGAGGACAGTTTGTATATCCCATTTTTGAAAAATGTTAAAGCTTTTGATGTGAAAAATTAAGCCAGTGCTTGTTTGATATCTTCTTTGTTTTTGAATTTTTTGCCCTTCAAAAATTTTGTAAAGACAAAACAAGTGATAGTTGGAGAGTGCTAAGTCCAGGGAATATGTTGGATGCGACAGAATTTCCCAACCTAGTTCTGCAATTTTTTTTACCATTTCCCAAAGCAGCATGTGGCGTGGCATCATCATGATGCAGTATGATGCCCTTCCTATTGAACATCACCAGCCTCTTTTCTTGGACTGCTGTCTTTAAATTATCCATTTGCTGAAAATACTTTACCGAGCTGAGCTTTTTGTTCGGTTTTAAAAGCTTATAGTATATTGATCCTCGAATATGCCACCATATACCCAAAATTCTCTTATTCAGAATCAAATATGGGTTTAGAGGTGAAAAGCCTAAAACTTTCACAATAGGCTCTTTTCCTTATGATGTTTTCACAGGTAATTGACTTTTCATCCCCATTTATTATCTGGTTCAAGAAGAGTTTGTTTTTGTTCTGAGCAAGCAGAGATGTGTATATGACGACTCAATCATCCAAATTCATCTGATTTAATTCATGTGGCACCCATCTTGAATATTCCTACACCAATCCCATCTTGCAAATATGGTTTGGAATGATTTGCTGAGCTGAATTAAGCCTTTCTGAAATCTCTGATGTTGTCAGAAAAGGATCTTGCTCCAACATCGTCGTCAATCAAAGGAAGAACATGGCTCATCAGAATGGTCAAAATCACCTGTTTCAAAATTTTTTAACCATCTTTTGCATGTCCTATCAGAAACTCTGCCTTCACCAAACACTTTCAATAAATTTCTGCATGCTTCTGTAGCATTTCTTCTTTGTTGAAATTCATATTAAATAAATTGGCATTAATGAACTTTATCAGCAGCCATGGGTACACTATCACTTCGCACGTAAGACTAACGTGAATCAACTTTGTTTTAGTTAATTTGTTACATCAGTATGTATGTATACATTAAGCGATAAAAATAGAGAGCCGAACATGCGCCAAATAAACATGTGCTTACGTGTCGAAAATTGTTGTCATAAAAACAGAGAGAAGTTTCCGGTAGACTAAATAAGTCATCCGAAGTTCAATAACTTGCAACCAAATAGATTGGCTGGCTATGTGGGGATCTTGTGGTTTTCTGTATGTGATGAATTTAAGCCAGTTTCCATTAGAAAATCCTCCATAAAGGCATCCTTTCCATGGCAGATAACCTTCATGCACAAATCTGTAGTAAATTACTAACCCACATAATTGCATTTTCTTCTTAGTTCATTACTTTTATGTCTTTGTGTTTATATATAAAAACATGTCTTATGTATTAAAGTAGCACAACTTCACCTAGCATTCTGGGTGTTTAAAATTTTGTAGGTATTACAGTTGCTCGAAAATACAAAAAAAATACGATATATGTATTTAGGACAGAAAAGCTGCCACTGTCTTAAAAATGCTTACAAGAAAATTGTTTACTTATGTTGTAATTCATACTACACCACAAAATTTTCTTTTATTAAAAAGTTTTAAAGGAAATTTCTTTTCCATGTTAATGAAAAATGCATTTTCATGATGAATGAAATTAGTGCACTATAAAGGAGGCACAGGATACAAGTAAATTTATGAGAGATACACATGATTTCAAAAAGAGAACAGCAGAACAATTATAGTGAAAAATTTGTGGGTTTTAGTTCAGTCTTCTTCAATAGGATGTTAGACCACCACGTACTACAACCAGGCCACAGCATAGTCCAGCATTGAGTCAATAGATGCCTGATATTGTCCTGGTGGAGTGGATCCACACCTATTATGCAACTTATTCTAAATCTTGTTGATTGGATTATGGCAGTATATTATGTTTCACCTTCTCCAAAACATACTTGCATGGGGACAGGCCAAGGGAATTGTCTGCGCATGATATAAACAACCTTGGACAACTGTGTAATTGTAGCATTATCCTGACGGAATAATCCTCCATGATTCCCAGCAAGGAATAGGAATACGTGGCCGTAGTTTCTTATCTGAATATCATGGGGCTCTTGCCATGCTGTGAATGACTACCATAGTAGTTCAGCTGTTGTAACATGTGGCTACATAGGCTATAATGCCTGCTATGGGGAGTTGTATTGTACTCATCTGCAAGTTTGGGATTGTACCTGATGGCCAAATTACTTCCAATGCAGATGCAATGGTCATCTGACCCTAAAATAAAATGCAGTTCCTTGGTGAATGTCATGGATTGGCATTCCATACAACTGCTCATTCTTTGGCATCATTAAAATGGACTCGCTTCACTGCTAAAGGCAGAACATGTAAATGGCGCTGGGATTTCAGATTTGTTTCTTGGAGGCAGTTGCAGGGGTTTTGATGTCCACTTGAGCTGCTGCAGCCGTAGATAATAGATGGGCCAGCATTAGAGCTATATGTATCTAGCTAATAATTCTTCAATAATCTGTATTACCTAGATCTTCTGTATTATTTACCTAAGCATCCCCGAGTTAGTCTTGAACTGGTGGCCTGCATGCCACATGCGTCCCCCCCAAGCAATTTTATGTGACCTGCCAATACATTTAGTTATGAATTTGTTTAATACTATGCCTATAGATTTCGATATAGCATAAATTCATTGCACAGGGATTACAATGTATTGTTTATAAAGAAAATAAGAAAGTACTACTAAACATTTTAACAGTTATTACTTTCCAATTCAGTTTGAAGCTAGCACTGGCACAGAGCCAAACGTACCTATGTAATGCATATAACAGTACTCTGACCCACAAAAGAAGCTAAGGGCGAAAAGGACAAGGACATTAATTGTATCTTAGGAAATGAAAATTTAAAATTTCAACATAAATGACATTAGAGATATATGGATTGTGTTTATGTGTGTGATAGCTGTTGAATTAAAAAGAAATACATTGAATAGATGTATAGTCACAATTAAATGAAAGAATTATAAACTTTACATGCTTGCATACCAGGGCACATGATTGGGATACAGTGTGACAACAGTCCAGTTAATAAATTTATTCAGTAGCCAACAGATGGTAGAACTTTTATATTCTTGTGTTTTCTTTTTTTTTCCCCTAATGAGATGGTACATTTACTTTCCTTGAGTCAGTCATTATTTGGTAAGCTAGATGTATCTCTTCCCAGTTCATACTGCTGGAGACATGCTATCGAGTCCTGGCTTACAGCCTGGAAAGTACAAATCAATGTCAATAAATCAGAAGCTGTACTATTTTCAAAGAAAATCTATGTCCATGGATATGTCACCATGTTCGACGAAAGAATTCCCTGGGTCAAGCATACCAAATACCTAGGTGTTATTTTGGATAGGAGACTTGCATTTTTACCCCACATTAAACACATAATTTCAAAGTTTCAAGGCAGTAGAAGTACACTTGCCCCATTAATCACTCGAAACAGTGTTTTAGATATCGATCATAATTACTCATTTATACGGCCATATTGTGTCCCATAGTAACTTCTGCATGCCCTGTCTGAGGGTACTTATGTAAAACTCAGCTAGATAGAGTACTCTGAATGGAAAATAACACTTTAAGAATTATAGCAAAAGCCAAATGGTGTGTTAGGAATGAAGCAATTCGTAAAGAACTCGGTCATTTGTCTTAATGAGTTTATGAAAAATATTTAAAAAAATTTTTTTAAGAACTTGCATAAGACTCAAAACCCTAGCTTACCAAATTTGACATATGATGTTAATTCAGCTGTAAACAGGAGAAGACCCAAAGCCATTCTCAGGAATGTGCCTTAAGTCTTAAATTATTTGCTTAAAAAAAATCTAAAAAAAAAAAAAGAAAAAGAAAAGAAAAGAAAAAAGAAAAAAAAGAAAAAAAAAAGAAAAGAAATATATAAATAATTAAGTTTATGATAATAACTTGTACATGAAAATTTCTAACTTAATTCATACACTCTAAATTCACAAAAACCACAGCTAGCATGTGACACCCTCAACCTATCAGAATTCATCTCCTCCTCAACCAGCCATTGGACATTCCAGCTTCACCTGATCACCCTCAACTTCAGCCAGTTTAGCCTCCTCTACACCTAGTTCCAGCTCGGATGTCTCCAGTGAAGGACGCGGCCGAGCGGTAAAGTCGCTGAACACTGGTAGTTCGGTCCGAGGTTCGAATCCCGTGAACGGGCTGGCTGCATGGGCGTTTTCGTGGTTTTCCCCATATGTAACGTGTATACGAGCCAGTTTCCCTTAGAAAGTCCTCCACAAAGGCATCCCTCCCCTTAGGCAGATAGCCCTCGAGGCTTTGCCATAATCATACACACACACACCCAGTGAAGGACGCTATGCCTCTCATCACCGAACGGTGCCTTGTACTCCTGATACTACGACCTGATCCTCCATTTACTGCCTTTCAATTGCTTATGTCATCACATCAGTCGAATTATTGCACAAATCTTCAACTTGATTGCTTATCACGGACTATTGCATAGAAAA